TATTTAACAGTTTCCTAGTTTGATTTATAACTTTTAAATACTTAGACATGTAATATGTGAGTTTCCATTTATATTCTTGTTTCAGGCCCTGTTAGAAGCAGGCTTGGTCCCAACAATCATATTCTGGATTTTGTAAAAACACACAAGATCAGCATGATATAGTAAAAAGAGTACTATAGCTGGAGCCCGAAGATTTGGGTTCAAGTGTAAGTGATACTTAAACTCTGAGTCCCAGCTTCCTGTGCAACTGAAGAGGGAAAAGTACTGTGCCCTGCCCACCACAGGTTGCGGTCAAGATACTGTCTGTGGAAGAATCCTCTTTGTGTTTGTCAAGTAGTATATAAATGTAATTTAACAACAAAAAGACAAATAACCAAACCAAAAACTGAGCAAAGGACATGAACAGACACTTCACCAAAGAGGATATTCACATGAAAGATGCTCAATGTCATTAGCCATCAGAGAAATGCAAATCAAAACCACAATGAGACACCATTTCACTAACACTACAATTGCTAAGATAAAAAAATAACAAAACAAACAAAAAAACAGAAGAGAACAAGTGTTGGAGAGGATGTGGAAAAATTGGAGGCCTCATCCATTGCTCATGGGAATGAAAAATGGTACAGGCATCGTGGAAGACAATGGCTGTTTTGCAAATAACTGCCATATGACCCATCAATTCCACTCCAAAGTATACACCCTAAACCAAAAAAAAAAAAAAAAAACCACCCAAACCCATTGCCGTCGAGTCGATTCCAACTCATAGCGACCCTATAGAACTGCCTCATAGGGTTTCCAAGGTGGATTCAAACTTCTGACCTTTTGGTTAGCAGTCGAACTCTTAACCACTATGCCATCAGGGTTTCCAGGTATATACCCTAGGGATCTAATAAAAGTGACATGAACGGACACATGCACAACGATGTTCATAGCAGCACTATTCACAACAGCAAAAAGATGGAAACAAACTAAATGCCTGTCAACAGATGAATGGATAACTGAAATATGTTACAATGAAATACTACTCAAAGATAAAGAGAAATGAGTTCCCACAACATCTTGGAACATGGATGAACCTGAGAGAAATTATGTTGAGTGAAATAAGTCAATTGTAAAATAACAAATATTGCATATTCTCACTTTATGAAATGACATAAACAGGTAATTATACAGAAACTAATGTTCATAGTGGATACCAGGAAAGGGGGGAGAGAGGGATGGGCAGGATTCACTCTCTAGATAGTGTTGTTCTTGTTGTTAGGTGCCCTCCAGTCGGTTCCAACTCATAGCTACCCCATGTATAACAGAACTAAACACTGCCTGGTCATGCACCATCCTCACAATTGTTGTTATGCCTCACAATTGTCGCTATGTTTAAGCCCATGGTTGCAGCCACTGTGTCAATTCACCTCACTGAGGGTTTTCCTTTTTCACAAACCCTCTACTTTATCAAGCATGATGTCCTTCTCCAAGGACTGGTCCCTCTTGATAACATGTTCAAAGTACATGAGATGAAGTTGTGCCATCCTCGCTTCTAAGCAGCATTCTGGCTGTACTTCTTCCAAGACAGATTTGTTCCTTCTTCTGGAAGTCCATGGTATATTCAATATTCTTCACTGACACCATAATCCAAATGCATCAATTCTTCTTTGGTCTTCTTTATTCATTGTTCAGCTCTCCCATGCATATGAAGCAATTTAAAATACCATGGCTTGGGTCAGGTGCACCTTAGCCCTCATAGTGGTATCTTTGCTTTTTAACACTTTAAAGAGGTCTTTTGCAGCAGATTTGCCTGATGCAATACATCGTTTGATTTCTTGATGGCTGCTTTCATGGGTGTTGATTGTGAATCCAAGTGAAATGAAATCCTTGACAACTTCGATCCTTTCTCTGTTTATCATGATGGTGCTTATTGGTCCAGTTGTGAGAATTTTTGTTTTCTTTATGTTGAGGTGTAATCCATACTGAAGGCTAAAGTATTTGATCTTCATCAGTAAGTCCTTCAAGTCCTCTTTGCTTTCAGCAAGGAAGGTTGTGTCATCTGTATATCGCAGATTGTTAGTCTTCCTCCAATCTTCATGCTGCGCTCTTAGTCATATAGTCCAGCTTCTCAGATTATTTGCTCAGCATACAGACTGAATAAGTACGGTGATAGGATACAATCATGGCACAAACCATTCCTGATTTTATACCACAAAGTATCCCCTTGTTCTGTTCAAACAACTGCCTATTGTTCTACGTACAGGTTTCGCATGAGAATAATTGTTCTGTAATTCCCATTCTTCGCGATGTTATCCATATTTTGTTATGATCCACGCAGTCGAATGCCTTTGCATAGACAATGAAACACAGGTAAATCATCTTTCCAGTGTTCTCTGCTTTCAGCCAAGATCCATCTGACATCAGCAATGATATCGCTGGTTCCACATCCTCTTCTGAATCCAGCTTGAATTTCTGGCAGTTCCCTGTCAATGTAAAGCTGCAACCATTTTTGAATAATTTTCACCAAAATTTTACTGACATGTGATATTAATGATGTTGTTCGATGATTTCCCCATACTGTTGAATCACCTTCCTTTGGAATGGGCACAAATATGGATCTCTTCTGGTCAGTTGACCAGGTAGCTGTCTTCAAAACTTCTTGGCACAGACAAGTGACTGTTGGCAGTGTTATGTCCATTTGTTGAAACATCTCAATTCCTATTCTGTCAATTTCTGTAGCCTTGTTTTTCACCAATGCCTTCAGTGCAGCTTGAACTTCTTCCTTCAATACCATCAGTTCTTGATCATATGCTACCTCCTGAAATGGTTGAAAGTCGATCAGTTTTTTTGGTACAGTGACTCTGTGTATATTCCTTCCACCTTCTTTTGATGCTTCCTGCATTGTTTAATATTTTCCCCATAGAATCTTTCAATATTGCAACTCGAGGCTTGAATTTTTTCTTCAGTTTCTTCAGCTTGAGAAATGTCAAGCGTGTTCTTCCATTTTGGTATTCTAGCTTCAAGTCTTTGCACATGTCATTACGATACTTTACTTTGTCTTCTCAAGCAGCCCTTAGAAATCTTCTGTTCAGGTCTTTTACTTCATCATTTCTTCTGTTCATTTTAGCTACTCTACATTCAAGAGCAAGTTTTAGAGTCTCTTCTGACATCCATTTTGGTCTTTTCTTTCTTTCCTGTCTTTTTAATGGCCTTTTTCTTTCTTCATGTATGATATCCTTGATGTCTTCCCACAAGTCATCTGGTCTTTGGTCATTAGTGTTCAATGAATCAAATCTATTCTTGAGATGGTCTCTAATTTCAGGTGGGATATGCTTAAGGTCGCACTTTGGCTCTCGTGGACTTCTTTCCATCTTATTCAGCTTCAACTTGAACTTGCATACGAGCAATTGAAGATCTGTTCCACAGGCAGCCCTTGGCCTTGTTCTGTCTGATGATCTGTTGTACTGTTGTGGCTTGTGTGTTGCTATGATGCTGGAAGCTATCCCATCGGTATTTCAAATAACAGCAGGGTCATCCATTGTGGACAGGTTTCAGTGGAGCTTCCAGACTAAGACAGACTAGGAAGAAGGACTTGGTGATCTACTTCTAAAAAAACTGGCCAATGAAAACTTTATTAATAGCAGCAGAACAACGTCTGATATAACGCCAGAAGATGAGCCCCTCCACTTGGAAGGCACTCAAAATATGACTGGGGGAAAGCTGCCTTCTCAAAGTAGAGTTGACCTTAATGATGTGGATGGAGTAAAGCTTTCTGGACCTTCATTTGATGTGGCACAACTCAAAAAGAGAAGAAACAGCTGCAACCATCCATTAATAATTGGAATGTACGAATTATGAATCTAGGAAAATAGGAAGTTGTCAAACATGAAATGGAATGCTTGAAGATCAGTATCTTAGGCATTAGTAAGGTGAAACTGGCCATTTTGAATCAGACAATCATATGGTCTACTATGCCAGGAATGATAAACTAAAGAGGAACTGCGTCAAAAAGAACATTTCAAAATCTATCCTCTTGGCCAAGGCAAAGTCATACAAGCTTCCTAGACATAACTAAACACCTTGAGGGATCAAGTTGCTGGGGCTTAGGGCTGGGGACCATGCTCTCTGCAGATACCTAGGTCAACTGGCATAACATAGTACATAAAGAAAATGTTCTACATCCTACTTTGGTGAGTAACATCTGAGGTCTTAAAAGCCTGTGAGTGGCCATCTAAGATATAACTAGTGGTCTCTTCCTATCCACAGCAAAGGAGGGTGAAGAAAACCAAGACTCAAGGGAGCAATTAGTCCAAAGGACAAATGGACCACATGCACCACAGCCTCCACCAACCTGAGCCCAGAAGAAATAGATGGTGCCCGGCTACCACTAGTGACTGCTCTGACCGGGATCACAGTAGAGTCCAGGATAGAACAGGAGAAAAATGTAGAACAGAAAATCAAATTCATAAAAGAAGACAAAACTTATTGACCTGTTAGAGACTAGACGAACCCTGAGACTATGGCCCTAAGACACCCCTCTGATTTGGAACAGCAGCCATTCCTGGAAACCTCTTTCCAGCCAAACAATAGACAGGCCTATAAACAATAACATATGAAAAGAACTTACTCCATAGAACAGTCAATTATACAAGACCAAAAGGGCAACATTTGCCCAAAAGCAAAGATGAGAAGGCAGCAAGGGGTAGGAACACCAGATGAAAGGAAACCGGGAAGCCAGGGCAGAAATAGGAAGAGTGCTGAGTGTGGGGATTGCAACCAATGTCATGGAACACTTGTGGACAATTTGTTGAATGGGAAACTAATTTGCTCTGTAAACTTTCACCTAATATACAATAAAATATTTTTGTTTTAAATCTATCTATATGTATGTAGATAGATTAGTTTAAAAAAAGTAGTATATAAATGTAAGATAATTCCATGTAGCCTTCATACAAGGTTTATTTAATAAGAAGGGTTGAAAACAAAAGCTTAATAGCTAAAACTTATAAAGTCACCTGGAAATGGAAGTGTCATCTAATTTCATCAGTGATTTGAAGACTATTCCTTCTTCTTTGAACTTGGTGCAAAGAAATTGTAGTACCAGAAGTGTGGCAATCAGGTTCAGGAGACATTCTTGTCCTTTTATACCTAAAAGGAAAAAAAAAAAACAAAAAAACTCCTTATGTCTGTTTGAAACTGCACCTCACACTGTGTCCATTTATAAAAGTTCTATTATAATACTCAAAAACTAGTCTACTTAGAGTGAAATTTACATCCTACCCGACCCCTATATGACAAGACTATTAGTTCTCCTTTCTTTATTCTACGTCATTGCTGAAGCTTATGCTTGGTGGAGCTAGAACCATTACTCCTCTAATCCCTAATTTGAGACAAAAAGAGAAAGAGCTATCAGTTGAAATCTGAACTGTTTAACTTCATAAAGTGTTGGATGTTCAGCATGTTGAAACAATGTATGTTGTCATTTCTTCAAAGCATCATTTAAGATTTTTAGAATGCTTGACTATTCTTGTTTATCTTGCAATAAAGTAAAAAAAGAACAGTGAAAAAAATTATAATACTATTAAACCATAAAACAATAGCAGATCATAAAACTCTATAATACTCCTCAAGGCCCTTAACTAGCCTGCCGTTCAAATAAAAAATGAAGAAGACTGGAACATGTGCCTATCATATTATACTGAAGGATTTTAGGAAACAAAAGTATATCCAGAGATCCCCTCCTCTGACATCTTCAATAACCAGTATGCATGAAGTATGATGAAAGAAAGCCTGTTTCTAGGATCCTGCTACAAATAGCTCAGAAGAGTAAACTTTAAATATACAACAGATAAACAAGGAATATGGCTGATTATACCAGTGTTTCCAATTATTTTTAGTGAATAGTACCTACAGCTAAACAGCACTGTTTAGCAAATCAAGATATTTACTATATTATGAAATACAAAATCGAAAGTGAGTGTTTAGATATAGTGAACCCAGAAATTAACCATCCATTTCTATTTCTAAAATAATGCAAGTCACATTTAAAATCACTTTAAAATATAAAATAATAGTTTTGAAATAGTTATTTTTCCAATCACCCATTTCATGACGCTAATTTTATTCAAAATTTTCACATCTATCTTCATTATCATTAGAGTCATAGTGAGTCTTCTGATAGGTAAATCATCTTTATTTCCATCTAATGTGTTTGGTATATAGCACTGTTTGTATCACTACAACACTGCCACTTAACGTATTGTTTTATTTGATTATGAAATAGTTTAAGCACGCAAAAAAGTAAAAAGAGTAGTATGATGACTACTCCATCCACCAACAGTTTGTCAGTTCTTAACATTTTCCTATATCTGTCTCAAATCTCTCTTTTCTTTAAATAAAAAAAATATTATAAAGTTGAAGTCCCTCTTTGTATCTCTCCTCCAATCCATTTCCTTCTCCTCTCTCTTCAAAGAGACCATTCAGAAATACTATTCTGATTTTGGGAATTACATTTTCATGACATACATTGCTTTTGAAATAGGCTCATTAAACAATATTCAGCAAAAAAGAAAAAAAAAAGAATATTTAGTGTTTGTGATTTCCAATTCTTATTCCCAGGATTACTTCATAAACCTGTGTTAAACTTATTTTACTTCCCTTTTTAGGATTTCTGTCTGATAATTTCTTTAAGTACCCAATATCAGCACAAATTTAGGCCATTTTAGGCTGAGTGCCTTCTTCAGTTGACACTATGTTATTCAAAATAAAGTAACTGATGAAATACCTTACGTCATGGATTGAATTGTGTCCCCCAAAAATATCTCTGTCAACTTGGCTAGGTCATGATTCCCAGTATTGTATGACTGTCTACCATTTTATCATCTGATGTGATTTCCCTATGTGTTGTAAATGCTATCACTATGATGTAATAAGATGGATTAGCAGCAGTTATACTGATGAGGTCTACAAGATTAGATACTGCCTTAAGCCAATCTCTTTAGAGATATAAAAGAGAAGCGAGCAGAGAGACATGGGAACCTCATACCACCAAGAAAGGAGCACCGGGAGCAGAATGTGCCCTTCGGACCTGAGGTTCCTGTGCTGAGATGCTCCCAGACCAAGTGAAGACTGATGAGAAGGCCAACAGAGAAAGCCTTTCCCTGGAACTGACGCCTTGAATTTTGACTTCCAGCCCACTAAACCATGAGAAAATAAATTTCTCTTTGTTAAAGCCATCCACTTGTGATATTTCTGTTATAGCAGCACTTGATGACTAAGACATCTTACCACATGAAATATGTATAAAAACTCATATATGTTATGACTGCTTTTCTGATTGAGTATTTTTTTTTAAAACAACAAAACCCTTGCCTTATAATTGCTGTATTGTTGTTAGGTGCTGTGGAGTCGGTTCCAACTCATAGCAACCTTATGCACAACAGAACAAAACATTGCCCAGTCCTGTACCAACCTCAGAATCATTGCTATGTTTGAGCCCATTGTTGCAGCCACTGTGCCAATTCATCTCATTAAGGGTCTTCCTCTTTTTCGACGACCCTCTACGCTACCAAGCATGAGGCCCTTCTCCAGGGATGGTTCCCTCCTGACAACATGTCCAAAGTATGTGAGATGAAGTTGTGCCATCCTCGCTTCTAAGGAGCATTCTGGCTGTACTTCTTCCAGACAGATTTGTTCCTTCTTCTGGAAGTCCATGGTATATTCATTATTCTTCACCAACATCATAATTCAATTGCATCAATTCTTCTTCAGTCTTCTTTATTCATCATCCAGCGTTCACAGGCATATGAGGAAAATGAAAACACCATGGCTTGGGTCAGACACACCTTAGCCCTCAAAGTGACACCTCTGCTTTTTAACACTTTAAAGAGGTCTTTTGCAGCAGATCTGCCCGATGCAATACATTGTTTGATTTCTTGATGGCTGCTTCTATGGGCGTTGATTGTGAATCCAAGTAAAATGAAATCCTTGACAACTTCACTATTTTCTCCGATTATCAAGATGTTGCTTATTGGTCCAGTTGTGAGGATTTTTGTTTTATGTTGAGATGTAATGCAAACTGAAGTATTTGATCTTCATCAGTATGTCCTTCAAGTCCTCTTTGCTTTCAGCAAGCAAGGTTGTGTCATCTGCATATCACAGGTTGTTCATGAGTCTTCCTCCAATCCTGATGCCGCATTCTTCTTCATATAGTCCAGCTTCTCCAATTATTTGCTCAGCATACATATTGAATAGGTATAGTGAAAGGAAACAACCCTGATGCACACCTTTCCTGACTTTAAACCATGCAGTATCGCCTTGTTCTGTTCCAACAACAGCCTCTTGGTCTACGTATAGAGCAAGCACAATTAAGTTGTTCTGGAATTCCCATTCTTTGTAATATTATCCTAATTTGTTATGATCCGCACAGCTGAATGCCTTTGCATAGTAAATAAAACACAGGTAAACATCCTGTAATTAAGATAATTAACTGTCTTATAATTAGGAATATACAATTACTTTTTTGAGTAAAGACCAAAGGTATTTGTGCATCATATGAACATATCTGCACAAACACCATTAATGTTATGTCACTGAAATAGCCAAAACAGCTTATAAAATGAGACAGATTTTATTAAATGGCATCATTCTCTTAATTTGGAAGAAGAAAATTGAATAAATTTTTAAAAATAAAACAAAACAACAAAATTAATCCATTATCCCACAAAAGAATAACATGGAGACAAATAAAAAGTAGTTTAATTAGTGAGTTCTTTTTTAGACGAATTTTTAAATGATATTAATAATAAGCAACACAACTCTATTCAAGAATATCATCAATAATAAAGTGATGAAATAACATATCAGAGTAATTTAAAAAACAAATTCAGAAAGTAAAGGAGAGATAAAAGAGAAACAAAGAGAAAAAAAGACCAAAAAAAGTTGGATAGAGAGATATGAAAACAAGTCAAAGAAAAAAATCAGACAGCTTGAGACTACATACGGAGAAAAAGAAGCAGAAAAGCACACACCATCAGAAAAATAACATGGATAATATGGACATACACAGAGTAAAACAGGGAAAACCCATATATAAGATATATCCATAAAGAAATCTCCTCTCTTGACTTCTGACATCAAACTTCCTAGTTTCCTCTTATTTTTCTGGACCTTCCTTCTCAGTCTCTTTGCTGTTTCCTGTTCTGTCTGGACACTAAATACTGGTGTTCACCAAGGATAGCCCTAAGCCCTCTTTTCTGTTCTAGGTATACTTTCTTTCTTTAGTTGATCTTATCTAGACACATGGCTTTAAATACCACTGATACACTGACAGTTCCCCCATAGTCTTTTCCAACGCTGACTTCTCCTCTCAGTTCTAGCCTCACATATCCAACTATGTATTTCCCTCGAATGTCTAATAGACATCTCCAACTTAAAACGTCCAAGACCCAATTCTAAATATTAGTGTTTCTCAAGCTACAGGTGATGTTTTCTTTCCATGTTGAAGCCTGAAATCCTCCCTCTTCCTCTAACTATGCACACCTGATTCTTCTGCGAAACTGCATCTTAAATCTTCCCAATTACACACTTAATTTTTTAAAAGATTGTTATTATTTGCCATCAAGTCAGCTCCTACTCATAGTGACCCCACGTACAAAATGAAACTCTGCCCAGCCCTGTTCCACCCTCATGATCGTTGGTATGCTTGGGTCCACTGTTGCAGCTACTGTGCCAATATATCTCAATAAGGGCTTCCTTTGCCCTCGCTGACCCTTCACTTCACCATAAATGATGTCCCCATCTAGCAACTGGTCTCTCCTGATGACACATCCACAATAAGTGAGTAGAAGTCTGTGATCCACAAGGTTTTTGTAGCTAATTTTTGGAAGCAGATTGCTAGGACTTTCTTCCTAATCTGTCTTAGTCTGGAAGCTCCGCTAAAACATGCATCATGGATGACCCTGCTGAAATGTGAAATACCAGTGGCATAGCTTCAAGCATAATAGTAACATGCAAGCCACCAACCACAGTATGACAGACAGACAGGTGGGTGAATGTAATTAATGCTAATAAATTGTACACTTAGAAATGGTTAAAAGCGCAAATTTTATATGTATTTTATCATAAAAAAAATCCTAGCAGAAAAAAATAACCTACAAATGGAATTGCTAGGTTAAAGAGTAGGTTTATGTTTAGTTTTATAAGAGCCTACCAGACCATTTTCACCACCAACAATGTTATTTTCCCACCAACAATGTATGGAAGTTCCAGTTGCTTCATAACCTCACCAACATTTGATTTTGTCAATCTTTTTTTAATTTTAGGCATTCTGGTTGGTTTGTAGTAGTATCTCATTGCGGTTTTTATTTGCATTTTCCTGATGACTAGTGATGATGAATACTTTTTCATGTGCTTGTTGGCTATTCGTAACTCTTTTGTGAAGTATCTGTTCAAATATTTTGCCCATATTTGTCTTTTTTATTTTTGAGTTTTTGTATATCTTGGATACCAGCGCTTTGTCAGATACATGTTTTGTGAATGTTTCTCCCAATCAATGGTTTGTCTATTCATTTTCTTAATGGTGACTTTTGATTTTAATTTTGATGACCTCCAATTTATTTAACTTTTCTTTTATGGTTCGTGTCTTTTGTGCATTTTCTAAAAAAGCCTCGCCCACTCCAAATTCATGAAGATACTCTCCTTTGTTTCCTTTTAGACATTTTTAATAGTTTTATATTTAGCTCTACGATCCATCTCAAATTAGGCTTTGAGAATGGCATAAAGTAGGGCTTAAAATTCAGAAACCCAGTCGTTCTAATATCAGATTTGAAAAGGCTTTCCTTTCTCATTAACTTGATTGGTGTCTGCAGAAAAATCAATGAACTAAATGTTAAGGTCACTTTCTAGACTTTCTATTTTCCATTGGTCTATTATTATCATCCTATGTCAATACAAATTGTGTGTTTGATGTCAGGTAATTTATGCACTCCAGTTCTCCCATTCTAGTATAAGATTATCTTGGCTATCCTAGGTCCTGTTGAATTTTCATATAAATTTTAGAGTCACTTTGTCAATTTCTACAAAAACGTCTGCTGGGATTACATTGAATCTATAGAGCCATTTGAGGACAATTGACAACATTGAGTTTAGAGTCTTCCAATCCCATCATAATGGAAAATTTTTCCGTTCATTTAGGTTTTTAAAGGTTTTCTCAATAATATTTTTAGTTTTTATTGTAGAAATCTTGCACATCTTTCTTTAAATTTATTTGTAGGTATTTGATGTTTTTTAATGCTACTGTAAATGATATTTTTTAATTGCATTTTCCAATTATTCGTAGCCAGTATGTAGAATTACAACTGGTTTTTCATTTTGACCTTGTATCCTTTGACCTTGTATGATCTTTTGTTTGTCTGAAAATGTCCTTATTTCTATCCATTTTTTTAAAGGATCTTTTTAGCTGAATACAGAACACTTAGTTGACAGATTTTTTTTTTTTTTTTTATTTCAGTACTTTAAACCCAAACCAAATCCAATGCAGTCAACTCCAACTTATAGTGACCCTACAGGACAGAGTAGAATCGTCCTCATAAGGTTTCCAAGGCTGTAAATCTTTAGGAAGCAGACTGCCACATCTTTCTCCTGTGGAGTGGCAGGCAGGTTGGAACCGATGACCTTCCAGTTAGCAGCGAGTGCTTTAACCACTGTGCCACCAGGGCTTCCATTTCAGTACTTCAGAGATGTTATTTCATTATTTCTAGCTTCCGTTATCTCAGGTGTGAAGTAGGATGAAATTCTTATAGATGTTCTGAATGTAATGTATCCTTTTTCTCTGAGTGCTTTTAAGACTTATCTTAGGTTTTCAGCAGTCTGACTTTTGTTTTACCTAAAAATGATCTTTCTTGTATTTATCTATTTGGGGTTCTGCTGCATTTCTTGGGTCTGTGAGTTGAATTCCTGCCATTATTTAGTCAAATATTTTTCTGTCTATCCTCCCTCACTCTGGGACCCTCAATTACACATGTTAAACCTTTTGATGTTCTACAAGTTTTGGATGCTGTTGTTTTTTCTTTTCTTTCTATGCTTCACTTTGGATACTTTTTACTGACCTATCTTTGAGTTAAATGTTCATTTTTTATATTGTGTTCATACTGCTGTTAAACCTATCCAATGAATTTTTCATTTCAGATATTGTACTTTCAGTTCTAGAATTTTTCATTTGGTTCTTATTTATAATTTCCACCTATCTGCTAAAATTCCCCCATTTGTTCACCCATCCTATCCTTCCTTTCTGGTAAATCCTCTAATAAAACAGAATTTTTAAAGTCCTTGTCTGCTAATTCAACATCAGGGACATCTGTGGGTCAGCATGTACAGCTAATCATTTTTTCTCTTGATTATCAGTCACATTTTCCTTCTTCCTCATGTCTATTAGATTTTCATTCTATACTGAATGTTGAAGATCATATCTTGTAGAGATTCTGAATTATTATCTTACTCTAAACATTGTTGAGTTTTGGTCTGGTGCATCCCATAAAGGCTTTGTTGAGGCTTTCTTAGGATGCACCCATTTTGGCTTTGTCCTTTGTCCTAGGGTTTAGTCCTTAGTCATGAATATGGACTTTATGATCCTTTTTGCATTCCAGTGGAAAACCTGAGTTATCTATAAAGCCTCTCCAACTTGGTTTGACTTGAACTCCAAACTCTGTTCAAACTCTGTCTCTCCATTGTCTGGCAGAACTTGAAGTTTTTGAATGATCTTTAAGCTTCTCAGCTATTTGTTTTTTCTGGATTCCCTGAAGTCACATCCTGTGCATGTATAGGTCAGGGGTCAGCCAAGGATCTGAGAGGAATTTTTATAGATTTCAGAGTTCCCTGCTCTGTGTGGTTCCCTCCTCTTAAGGATTTTCATCCTTAATTTCCAGACACTCTGGTAGGCTGGCACTCTGATCCCATGTTCTCATCCTATAAGGGCTGTTTCTACTTCAGTTATAACCTCCCATTGCTTCACAAACTGAGAAGTACTCTTAGGTGAGAAACTGGATAAATGTGAAGCTCACCTAGTCTGCTTCTCTTCTTTCAGTGATTGTGTCCCCTCCAGTTTCTGCCTGTTTTTGGTTGCTCCCCAGGCCTTCAAACAGGTTTGTCTGTTTTTTTGATATTTTGTCCAGAAGTTATAATTCTTATTGGCAGAATTAGTCATATACAAGCTCTTTCAGTATTGCAAGAACAAGAAGTCTCTCCTCATCCCTATTTTCATCATTCCTTTGTAGTCTAGTGCAGGTCAAACAGGCTAAAAATCAGCTAACTCATCTACCCTGGATTAGGAAAAGCCTGACATTTTAGAGGTGGCGGCAGGGTAGTTACACTTTGCTGTTCAATTCATCTATGAATACTAGCTAATTGTTTAATATTTATTTTATAAGAAAAATCTCTTAGAACAGGGCTAGCATTTGAACTTCAAGCCACTTGCTGGATGTCTAAGATTTCCTCATCCATCCCTTCACTGTCAGAAGAAACTGAGATCCGGAGAGGTTGAACCCCTTGCTCTGGACAACAGGCAAGATGCTCTTCAAATTTGTTTTCTCTTCCTGGGCACAAAACTAAACTACATTTCTTAGTCCCTTTGCACCTAGGTGAATGATGCCATTGTAATCTTTTTTTCTTCTTTTTTTTTTTTCTCCCACCAGGGCAATTTTGTTGAAGATGGCAAAGCCACAATATGGAAGGAGCCTGGTTCTCTAAATGCTACGTGGAGTGAATTTCTTGCTGACCAATGTTTGGCAGTGATGTGAGTAAAAAATAATCTTTTATTGTATTAAGCTGTGTTAAACTCAGTTAAAACTGAGATTTGGGTTTTTTTTTGGTAGTTAGTGCTCCTAATGTTAATAAATTTGTGTGGTATGACCATAAACTAATCCCCATCTCTTTTGCTGGTCAACAAATATAATCCCACTTATACATAACTTATATAATTACTATATTACACTAATCAAAAAAATAATTTATAACAATCACAACTTGTACAAGGAAAGGTCATGGAAGCTCCATAGACACATCCCAACTCCCTCAGGGACTAAATTGCTGGATAGAGGGCTGTGGAGACCATGGTCTCAGGGAACATCTAGCTCAACTGGCATAACACAGTTTATAAAGTAAATGTTCTACATTCTACCTTGGTGAGTAGCAGCTGGGGTCTTAAAAGCCTGTGAGCAGCCATCTAAGACACTCCACTGGTCTTACCCCTTTGGAAGCAAGGGAGAATGAAGAGAACAAGGTACAAGGGAAAGATTAGTCCAAAGGACAAATGGAATGGACCACAACTACCACGGCCTCCACCAGACTGAGTCCAGTACAACTAGATGGTGCCTGGCTACCATCACTGACTGCTCTGACAGGGTCACAACAGAGGGTATAATGTAGAACAAAATTCTAACTCACAAAGAAAGACCAGACTAACTGGCCTGACAGAGACTGGAGAAACCTGAGAGTATGGCCTCTGGACACCCTTTTAGCTCAGTAATGAAGTCACTCCCGAGGTTCACCCTTCAGCCGAAGATTAGACAGCCCCATAAAACAAAACGACACTAATGGGGCACAACAGCCCAGGGACAAGGACTAGAAGGCAGGAGGGGGCAGGAAAGCTGGTAATAGGGGACGCAAGGTTGAGAAGGGACAGTGCTGACACGTCGTAGGGTTGTCAACCATTGTCATAAAACAATACGTACACTGGTTAATGAGAAACTATTCTGTAAACCTTCATCTAAAGTACAACAACAACAAAAAAGCAGTTTATATAATTAATGCTGGAAAGATAGCAACTTACCTAGAGATTGAATGCCTTTTTGTTCAAGAAAGCTGTTTAAAAAATTTGTATTAAGGTTTAATATAAATCCTAGTTCTGGAGTAAGCTTCCAGAAGCCACCCTATAAAAAAAGAAAACAAATTTAAGTCACATCATTAGAATTTCATCACATAATAAAATAAGTTTCCACTATTTCAATTCAGCTAATTAAAACATTTCTAAAGCTTTTATTACCATAGAATCAAAGTTCTTCATAGAGCAGTGACACAGAATTGTTTTGAATCTCATAAACACTATGAACACTATGTATCTAAAGGCATTTATTAAAACTACTGAAAAGAAGTTCATGTGTAGAGAGTTTAAAAAATGGTACTATCCATTTTTTTTGTTCTAGCAATGCTTTAAACCAGTTTGTCAATGTTTTAAACATCATGATCCCTTTTGTTCAACATAAAAAAATTGGCCTTCAGAGTCTAAAACTTCAGACTTGCACTTTTCTAAATATAAAATTTTAATATTGAACATGCTGTTTAAAACTACATATACACTTCCCTGTACCCACCATCTCCTGCCCTCCTCAGCTAAGAGTCACTGCTTCAAAGGCTGATCTTTATCACATGCTCATGAAAGCATGGTAAGCCTGAAGATGGGGATCCTAACCTTGAAGGTGATAGACCCGAGGTCTTAGGGAAACTAATATAGGCAGCAGAAATGAAGATGCAGTCATAGGCAGGTACACAGGTTAAAGGATCTATGGCAAGAATTTTAAAAAGCAAAAACATGAATACGCGCCAACCCAAACTGAACTAATGTCAGGTGCAGTTCTTTCATCTTTTCAGCAACTTCTTAGATAAGGACTATTATTACACTCACTTTGCAGATGAAGATACTGAGATCCAGAAAGGTGAAGTTAACTTGTCTAAAGTGACACAGCTGATAAGCAGCAGAACCAGGATTTAAACTTCAATAGTATGGCTCTAGGGCCCACACTCTTGACTAACTGCTATACTCCTTCCTACACTGCTTTTATGTACATTATTTCCTGTAAGGAAAGCTGGGTGGCTGTTATTATCCTTTTTAAACCTCAAAAACACTCTAGGAGGTAGACACGATTATTATCCCCTTTACATGGATGAGGAAATTGAAACTCAAAAAGGTTATCTGACTTGCCTAAAATCAAAAGTGGTAGGGCTGGGACTCAGTCTTATACTAAATCAAGCTGCCTTTCCACTTCACTATTTTACATAAAAAATAATAATAATTAGAGATGTGATATTGGGTCTTGGTAGCAGAGCAAGAGTTAACTTTATAGGGTGTTTATTAGCTTAACAAAAGGAGTAATAAGCCCTAACCACAATTATAACATATTAAGTCATATCTATATTCCAAAGACATTATGTGGAAATTATTTAGAGTGTACTTCCAGCACTTGTGCTTTACCTCCAAAGGGAAATGTACATGAATTTCTGTTCATCAGTTCTAGAGCCCTGGAAACTAAGATCTTACTCTATGACCTGTGCAGGCATGTTAATTTTCAACTACAGAATATTAGCATGAACTAGCATGATGTTTCAGCTTAACACTTAACAGAGAAACACTAGTCAAATACATCATCAAGTACATTTTCTAGTTCAGTGGACTTATTTATTTTACTTATGGATAGCAAGATTTCCTTGATGAAGAAAGTGGTCTGTTGATTTGCTGTTTATGACCAAGGTATGGTCATAAACAGTTCACTGACAGGCTACTTTGAGTAGCACTGTTCTAAACTATGAAGCTAACTAACCACAGACTTAAAGAGAAATAAGATCAATACCTCAGTCTGGAGACTGAACAGTTTAGTCCAAGGCACAAAATTCCTCCAGCTTTGTTTGCAGACTTTGTCATCCTCATCATTTTGTGCCTGAAAGCTTGAGGTAAAGTCACTTCTTGTTTCATCAGATTTTGCCACCCTTTTTGAAAACCTACTTGCTTGAAGCACTGACCTTTCATTACTTTTCATTTCAGAAGAACTTTCATGACTTGAGGCAGTCTGAAGATCATGTAGGGGAGGATCTGATAACGCAGTTCCAGCAGAAATATTTAATGGAAAAGAAACTCCTGATTCACTGCTAGCAAACCCAAGTAAATCTATTGGTTGCTTATAATTGGCACTCAAAGGATCCAGAGAGTTTTGAAAATGAAGAGGAGAAGGAACACTAAAACCTACGGCTGAAACAGGGGGAGGAAGTCTAGGAAGAGAAAGAAAAAGACGTGGTCTGGGAGTTGAGTACGTTCCAAGGGAAATGCCAGTTCCACAGATCTCACGGTCTTGGTAAATTTTAGATCGATCAATCTGTTTGGAGCCAAATGATGCAGCAGAAAAAGGAGAACAAGCAGGGGATCTAAAAGGTGGGTTCTGTGGAGGCAGCCTGGAAGGGAAATCCAACTTAAGAGAAACGTCAGTACAACTGCCAGTTTCAAGGTCTTGGTCATATTTAGATGGACCAAACTGTTTGAGACTACCAGGAGAACCAAAAAGAGAGTTCTGAGGAGATACGGGAGGAGAGAGGAAACCAGAATCAACATGAGAGGCACCTGGGAGGATGGGTGCAGCACCAAGAGAAAGAGAAGGCTTGAAAACATCATTTTTTGTGTGTAAAGAGGATTTCCTAAATTGTGCTTTAATTTTTTTTTTTTTTAATGAATTCATCCAACTTAAATCCAGTGGCTTTGCCACAAGTCCACATTCAGAATTGAGTATTAAAGGTTGTACTGGTAGTTGAGTGGCTAAATTAAACACTTCAACATCTTCAGAAACTTCTGGCTTGGGTGATTTAACTTTTCTTTCAGTCAAAGATTTGTGTTGCAAATCTTCATTCCATTCAGAGGATGCTGAAATAATCTACCCAGAAGAGAAAATTATAACGTAAGGAGAAAATATAGAATAAAACTAACAAACAAACATACTTCAGACTTCCTAGTAGTCAAGCAATTGTTTATGCCAGATAATGAGTTCCAGAGTCAGGATCATCAACACAGGCAGAAACATTGAAAATAAAACCAGAGCTCTTCAAGATCATTTAAGTACAACTCCTTCATTTTATAGATATGGAATTTGAGACCTGGAGAGAATATCAGCAATAAATACATCAGGTACTTAAAGATCTTCATCTTTCTTGGTTCTTAGAATCACAGAATTTTAAGTACCCCTCATTTTACATATGAGGAAACTGAGAACCAAAAGAATACAGTGACTTGCCCAAAATGTTACAATTAGCAGAATTATAGTGTATAAATTAGCCCTAAAATAGCTAACAATTTGAAGTAATTTTTGCTACTCTTTATTCTGCTTTACAGCAATATTAAGAAACTGAGAAAAATGAAAAGATATTTCAAAAACTTTAAAGTAACTAAATGAATATATCTTTACACCAGAGTACAAGCCATATGTATAACACAGGGGAATGAAAGATGCTATTTCACTACTAATATTTCAGTCTAAACAGTGTTCCTTAAAAAGTTGCATACAACCAAATCAAGTTTTATGTACATGACAAGTCCTTGAGATTTAAGTTAATACTTTCGTAAATAATTAGTCCCTAACTATACCAAAGTAAATGAGCTCTTAAAAAAGGAGTAGCCCTTTCCCATCTCAGCCAAGTTTCAAGTATACATTTAAATAATTAATATTACAAAATACATAACAAAACACACATTTAAAAACAATATTTTTGGAGGTCAGGCCAAGTTGGCGGAGTAGTCAGACACATCCTGGGGTCCCTCTTACAACAAAGACCCAAATAAACAAGTGAATTGATTATATACGACAATTGAGCAGCTCTAAAATTCAATGACAAAGTTGAGGAATCCGACCGAGAGGTAGGGGGAGTGAGAGACGGTTGAACGAGGCAACGAGGAGGTGTCAGACCTAACCCAGTGGGAACAGGTACCTTGCAGCCAGTGCACACGGTGAGGCAAGCAGTGGCGGTCAGAACACATTTTGCACATCAGGAGAGACGGAGCAGGGGACAGTCTGCTCAAGCCTCCGGAACCAGTGAAAAGCAGCACTCCATCAGCAGAAGATAAGTACATGTGTTTAATCTACTGCGCAGATCAAAAAACACCCACTTTGGGAAAAATCTCTCTCCCATTTACCTGCCTCCTTCCTGCTATGCATCACGTCTTGGGCCAGCTTCAGCCATTGCTGTGTCCCCTGGGCCAGAAGTAAGGACTCATCACACACCCTGAGCCATTCTCCTGCCCTTGGAGAGGCAACGAATTAAAAAACAGGAATAAATAATCTGCCAGCTCCCATAAGCCAGGAACTTAGGGTAGACGCAGCTCCTTTGCCTAGGCATAGGCAAAGGGGGTCCACAGACTTTGAATGCCTTTCACCCCTTCATAGACTTGTGTGGGCCCATTTCAACAGCACGGTAAACGTGGTATATACTTGAAGCCTAACTTCAACTGTCAGCTATATGGTAGAATGGCAGGTTTGTGACATTTGACACTGCTCTACACATTAAGCAGGGTACTCACCTAACCACATCACAGGCCTGAATACTGGTAGCTTCACCCATGCCACCAAGCCACCCACAAAAGGGGTCCAAGAATAAGTAGTGCCTCCCAGTCCTTACAGCCAACGGCATTGGGTGCCCATAGTCTGGTTGCAAAACCCACCCACCTACATGCTCTAGGGAACAGGGAGACTTTTCCTCCCAGACACTCAGGGGCAGCAGTCTGCCCCCTGCCTCACTCAGCCTGTGAGCCCCTACCGCAGTCTACACCAACCTGTGCCTACTCCAATTACTCCTGCCCATCTAAGACTGTAGGTGAAAGCCTGCAACACACATTTGGTAATCGACTACCTAGACGCCTGAGCTGCATCCATGCAAGAAAAGTAAACGGACTCCTGCGCTCACATGCCTAGTAACAGATCTAACCACATGGTGACAGGACGTGAGAGCTTCAAAGGCGCCAAAAAGCAAACTAGCTCACACGAGCAGCCTACTTGGACTTACCAAAACAAAATAAAACTAGAAGCTGGGACACAGTAAGCAAACATAAAATGAATAAATATAATAACTTATTGATGTCTCAGAGACAACAGTCAATATCAAATCACATAAAGAGGCAGACCATGATGGCTTCAGCAAGCTCCCAAAAAAAAAGACTCAAGATATTTTCCAGAGGAAGAGAACTTCTTGCAATTACCAGAGGTAGAATACAAAAGATTAATATACAGAACTCATCAAGAGACTAGGAAGGAGATCAGGCAAAACACAGAACAAGCCAAGAAAACACAGATAAAGCAATAGAGGAACTTAAGAAGGTTACAGAAGAGCATAATGACAAATTGAACAGGCTGCAAGAATCCACAGAGAGACAGCAAACAGAAATCCAGAAGATTAAAAATAAAATTTCAGAATTAGACAACTCAATAGAAAGTCATAAGAGCAGAACTGAGGCAATGGAAGTCAGAATTAGTGAGACTGAAGATAAAGCAATTGATACCAACCCATTTGAGGAAAAATCAGATAAAAGAATTTTAAAAAATGAAGAAACCCAAGAATTATGTGGGACACTATCAACAGGGATAACCTACAAGTGATTGGAGTACCAGTACAAGATGGGATAACAGAAAATACAGAGAGAATTGTTGAAGATTTATTCAGAGAAAACTTCCCTGATATAATGAAAGATGAGAAGATATCTATCTAAGATGTTCATCAAACGCCACATAAGGTAGATCTCAAAAGAAAGTCGTCAAGACATATTATAATCAAACTTGCCAAAACCAAAGATAAAGAGAGAATTTTAAGAGCAGCTAGGGATAAATGAAAATTCATCTACAAAGGAGAGTTAATAAGACTAAGCTCAGACTACTCAGTAGAAACCTCGGACTACTTCAGCAGGCAAGATGGCAATGGGATGACATATATAATACCTTGAAGGAAAAAAATTGCCAGCCAAGCATTATATATCCAGCAAAACTGTCTCTTAAATATGATGGCAAAATTAGGACATTTCCAGATAAACAGAAGTTTAGGGAATTTGCAAAAACCAAACCAAAACTACAAGAAATACTAAAGGAAGTCCTACAGTTAGAAAATCAATAACATCAGATAACAACCCAAGACTAGAACACAGGACAGAGCAACCAGGTATCAAACCAGACAGGGAAAACAAAAAAACAAATCAAAGCTAAAATGCTGAAAATAGGGAAACAGAGATGTCAATATGCAAAAGATGACAATATTAAAACAAAAAAGAGGGAATATAAAATGTAGTCATTTATCTTTCATACGGAGAGGAAGACAAGGCAATATAAAGAAATAAAAGACTGGTTTAAACTTAGAAAAATTGGGGTAAATATTAAGGTAACCACAAAGGAAACTAACAAAACTATACATCAAAATAAAAAACAAGAAAAAGATAAAGACTCAGCAAATACAAAATCAACAACAATGAAAAAGATGAAAAGAAAATAAAGAAAAATGACTCAGCACAGAAAATTAAGTGGAACAAAGAAACTATCAACAACTCACAAAAAAAGACATCAAAACGACAGCACTAAAATCATACCTATCAATAATTACACTGAATGGAAATGTACTAAATGCACCAATATACAGAGAGAGACTGGCAGAATGGATTAAAAAACATGATCCATCTATATGCTGCCTATAACAGACACACCTTAGACTTAAAGACACAAACAAACTAAAATTCAAAGGATGGACGAAAATGTATCAAGAAAACAACAATCAAAAAAGAGCAGGAGTAGCAATATTAATCTCTGACAAAATAGACTATTATGCAAAATCCACCACAAAGGATAAGGAAGGACACTATACAATGATTAAAGAGTCAATATATCAGGAGGACATAACCATAATAAATATTTATGCATCCAACAAAAGTCCTCCAAAATACATAAAACCAACTCTAACAGTATTGAAAAGAGAGAGAGACAGCTCCACGATAATAGTAGGAGACTTCAAACACACCACTGTCGGTGAAGGACAGAACATCCAGGAAGAAGCTCAATAAAGACATGGAAGATCTAAATGCCACAATCAACCAACTTGATCTCATAGACATATACCGAACACTCTACCCAACAGCAGCCAAGTATATTTTCTTTTCCAATGCATATGAAACATTCCCTAGAATAGACTACATACTGAAGCAACAAAGCAAGCCTTAACAGAATCCAAAACATCGATATATTACAAAGCATCTTTTCTCACCATAAAGCCATAAAAGTAGAAATCAATAACAGAAAAAGCAAGGAAAAAAAGTCAAACACATGGAAACTGAACAACACCTTGCTCAAAAACTACTGGGTTATACAAGAAATTAAGGATGGAATAAAG